AAAATAAAGGACGATTTAAAACCATAAACAGGTTTTCTATAAGCTACATAGTTCAACTTTAACTCTATAAAAAAAACAGCTCCAACGTGATTATAGATTTCTGCAAATTTTACACTTAACATGGCGAGCCCAGCACTACTAGCGTTTCTTCCAGAAAGTGAAATGTTTATATTCAGAGAGTGAATTGACATTATTTCCCCAGGAGGGGATGCTCAAAACAGCAAAGTGGACGAATCGACCAATGAAACGGAAACTTCGTTTCCCTAGCAATGTCAGAAAAAAATCCAAAGAATGCTTCGAGGAAGGTTTTCTTTTCCAACTTCCTTGATTTTTAACATCCCGAAGAGTGAAAAGCATAAGTGATGCATCTAGATAAGGAATACTTGTGCCACTGTCAGAAACAGGACTTCTGTCCGGAGGGAGGAGGGAGACTATTCCAGGCATTCCTCCTTCTCGGACATTTTGTACTCTGCACAAAAGTGTCTTTCTACTCGCAAACACCAGGGTGCAACTGGGCAGCTTTCTCCAGAGGGTACAGTCAAAACTCCGCGAGGGAACGAACTGAAGAATTGATGAGTGAAACGAAGACCCGATTCGCTTATTAACGATTAACACAGACTACATGAAACCTAAGAATGCTCTCGGGAATGTTTTCACATCAAATTACCTGCATTTCGATTCCTGATCTGATTCGAACGTATCAGAGTGTTAAAATCATGAATAAGGAACCTGATTAATTAATTTATTAGCAATTAGAAAGCAAGGAGAAATTAATCCTTTTCCAGCAGAGAATAACCAACTCTTTAAGAGAAAGGGAGGGCGTTCTCACTCTCGTCAATTCGCAAACTTAGCGTGGCATGTGCTAGCTTTTCACCTCTGCTCCGGGGTTTGAATGACATTTCTGAAATGTGGGCATGGACATTAAAAATGCGTGGAATACACCAGTAGGTAAAACGACGTAAAGAATGTAGTATTAAAAAGAGTTGGGGGCAAAGGCAATTATTGGAGATGATCTAAAAGGATGGAAAAGGAACTGGATAGGGCATGTTTTGGCAGGAGTGGATGGGATTATAAGAAGAGGGACAGGACATAGAAGGATACAGCCTTCGGGGGGGGGGCGAGAAGATAATGGAAGAGATTCCAAATATTTGAGGAGATAATAGAAGGAAACAAATACAGAGAACTGATTAAAGCCATGAATAGAAGTGAATGAACAAGACATGAACCTCCTCAGACTCAAGAAAACCTAAGTTGATGATTAATGAAATAACGATTCCTGAAGTTCAATTCCAGGTCAATTTGAGGTGGACAAAACGAGTTCACGGCAGGCTTTCTGGAAGTAGTCTCCTCTCCCTGCCTCGTTCCACCGTTCCTCCCTCATTCATATCAAAGCAACCTAATCAGCCAATCAATCAAAACACTACTCCAGGTACGGCTTTAATGAGACGTAATAATGCAGATATTTATTTTCCACCTCGGGGTGCAGAGAGACTCAAATGCCGGTCGATCCATGTGGAATTTGTGCCGGACTAAGCTGGGTAGCCGAGGCTGAAGACCTGTGACTATCTCGGCTCGCAGGGTTCGATTCCCGCCTCGGGCGTGGATGTTTGTGGGTTTCCATGGTGTCCTCATCTGTTCCCCTTCCGGTTCCCCGATGTTAAAATCATAGCGGGCGCTATTTGACCACGCAGTTAAAAAGTGACCTTATAGAAATATATTCTTTTTTAAATAGTCTGGTTCGTGGCAGGATTTTTCGGGTGGCTCCCATTTCAATTGCCACCACTGCTTCATCATCATTCATGTGTCAGCTTAACTCACAGCCATTAAGCAAATCATTCACACATTCACTGCAGCTGTCGCCAATCGGCTTAGTTAATGGATCCCCTCTTTATATATCGATAGTTAGTACTAATAAAATATTACGATTTTGCACAGTTTTTAAGAAACTATTGACACAAAACACCGTATTGGGAATGAGAATTACTCCCTAATCCTCCATCAATCACATTTAAGACAACATCCGGTGGCCATAACAACACATACTTTCTCGCATTATTTGTAACTTTTGCCAATTTCGAAAACTTAAGAGTTCAGTGATATTCAATTTAACATTTACATTCAATTTGATTTCACACGGATTTCGATTTTCTGCTCGCTTCTAACGTAGTACGCTAAGCAATTTTAGAACGATTACCATCTCACAGTACCTGGTCTGTAATGGTGCAAGATCTAGCCATTTGAAGTTGGGTTCGAGTAGTAAGCCATTTTAATTTCAAAGCAATGATTTCACATAATAAAAACGAATGTCCGGCAAGTACATAATTGAGGAATTAATCCGCGTGGATCACCTCCGCGCGCTCTTCCGCGGGTGCAAGACCTTCCGTAACAGTAGCGCGCACGTTGCACGAATGCGCCGTTGGGTGCGCGGCGTCACGCACCTCGTCCTCCCCCTCCCCTCCCCACCCCGCCGCACGCGATACGACTCGCCATTCAGGCGGGCCGCCGCCGCCGCCACGTGCCTGTCGCAAGACGGCGGGCGGCGAGGTTCCCCCCAGAACGCAGACCGGGCGGCCGCCGCCTGGCCGCCTTCGGTCGTGCACGCCAAGCCACGCCGCCGCCGCCCTGGCTGATGCAACGAAACCCGGCCTGAGGCGATTTCCGGGCGGCAGGGCGCTAGCACGAGAACAAGGTCTAGGAGCGCTGCAGGGGGCGAAAACCCGGTAGCGCCCACCTCCACCCCCGAATATGGGGGGGGGGCGGAACAAATATCGACTTCGTAATTCCGAGGATGGTTATGGCATCTACTTATGTACTAACAATATTCACTAATAATTGTCTTATTCAGTTCCGAGCGCATTATACCAGTAAGATCATAGGTATGAGGAACGATTGAATATATTCAATAGTTCCTCACACAGGATTGCAAGGATGTAATTGTGTAACTTAACCTACCAGATGAGGGTTGAACGTACCTGGGTTCATGTATTGCTACAACTAACAAATTTATTGTCGGAGTAACATTTTCAGAAAAGGAACGTTCTACTCAATGTTTTTTAAAATAATATTCCCACAAAACGAAAAAAAATTTGTCTTCGAATTTTTTTTTTTTCCTGATATATTTATAACGGCGAAACATTATCCCCCGCCTCCAAGACATGATGCCCCTTAAAAAAGACCCTGGAACAATTCCGTATCTCGCACTTTCTACAGCAGACTCAGATTACCAGGAAACAATGAGCTTAAAAATACTGTTTTTACTTCATATAACAGTGTTTTAATTATCTTAAGGGGAAAAAAAACACTTCTATGTAAGTTACTGGAAAGGGAACATTAAGGAATTTTATCAAAATGCAAAACATACTAAATGAAAATTTTAAAGTGCCAATAAGTAATGAAAGTCGATAATGAAATTCGAAAAAAAAGAGAAAAATTAAGAATACAAAAACTATTTTTCTACTAATGTACAAAGGGATATATCTCCAACTTCAGCGCCAAGAAAATTCGGACAATTCCAGTCATTTGTGATAGCAGCAACAAAAATACGCTCTATTAAGTGAAAGGAACACGCGTATTTCTATTTAAACATTCGCAATATTTCCTCAAAGAAGCTTTCATTCGCAATCATTTCTTCCAAACAAAACGCACGTTAACCTGTAATTGCTTACATAAAAATAACACATTTATGACATAAATAGACCCAACTGTTTGTTACGAAGTTTTCTGATCAAAAGCGCACACAGGATTTTTCTCGGCGGGGGAGGGTAGTGACTACAAGTATCGTTACCGTTCAGTCGTCTGTGTTTTCTTATAAAAACATTGGTTTATGCTAAATATAATTTATTTTATTAGTTGCCTGGTAGTTAATATTTATAACGTAAGCAGTCGATACATTCAAAGACTTTCGTAAACATAGAAAATTAGTAAAAGCTATATTTTCTAATATGTATCATTGGCTTCTCAGATGGGGGCGGAAACCACATGACCCCCTCCCCCACACTTTGAGTGCGCCAATGGTTCTGATATTAAATATTCGTTAGGTAACACTACACGTATTTTATTACGACCGCTGCTATCGTATAGGCGTCCCGCATCATTGTTTTCTAACGCACGATGTGAGGGACTTGGGTGTTGAAGACCAAGGAACCACTTCAAGATAAAAATAAATAATATATACGTAAGAAAACAATGAAAGATTAATGGTTGGCTACGACCGATGCTTTGATTTCATTTTTACTGCTTTAACACATCAAATACCACTGGAATCACTTCAATCTAATTGTGGAAAATGCACATTGTTTGGCTATTTCTCGACAGCACGATTTATTGTTAAACGGTCAATAGTTAGCAGTTACGTCTTTCATCACTTGCAAGTAATAAGCGACCCCACTTGCTCTTTTGGCATTTTCGTAAGAGGGTCTCTCACGAGTACGCGCCCGAACGTGCCCGTAATGTGCGCGCCTCCATATCAGACAAGGCGCGGTAGAAAGGGAAAGTCGAAAACCTGGCAGGTAGAAGTCGCGGGCTCTTTGAACTCCACGTATTCTGCACGAGCCAAGAGGGCGACTACCTGGCTGAATAAGCGCCGTATTAGGGTCCAGGTCAACATTCATTCATTATTCATTTTAAAACCAACATTTATTAAAGCAAGGGAATTTTCCTCTGAAAAATTATTCCAGCGCAATTTTCTATTTCCGACTACAGATTTTTACACTTTGGCGCTTCTATTTGCGACAAAACAGAAATTTAGCACGACATATTTATTGAAATTAAATATTTTTGAGTATTTGGAGGCTTATTGTGAAATGCAAAGCAATCAAAATTTTATTTTTCAGTAAAGTGAAAAAAGTGTATCGGGAGTAAAGGGGAAAAAGTGTAACGCATAACAAACCAGACAACAAAGTTTACAAAATTGGATGGATTTGTGAAGAAAAGATGTCGTTTTTTACAGAAGAGTTTCTTTTTAAACACTAATTATATGTAAAACGTCTGCGATGACTTACCTAGTTCTGCATAACACAGTGCGCCGATGGTAGAAAGGAGACCTGACAACACCCAAATGATAAGGGAAAGTCCTACAGAGCCTGAATTCAGCAAAACTCCTTTGGGCGACACGAAAATACCGGCTCCAATAATCACCCCAACAATGATCGCGACACCGTCCAACAAGCCCAGCTCCTTCTTTAGCTTCACCCCTTCACTTTTCGACGCTTCGCCCCCGCGGAGGGCGTCCTTCTCGGACGCAGCAACGCGATCGTTCTTCAAAGTCATTTTGGCGGCAAAAACGCAGTGTCTAATCGCAATTTATTCCACACGATCCACAATCACACAACTCGTACACAGCAGGAGGAAATCATCTGCGACCGTTTATACCATCTGACAGCTACTGCCCTACCCGGGCACCGAGAAGGCGAGCGCGGACAAAAAAGGATCAACAGACGGAACCACGTGGCTGCAGACGAGATCCACCGACGCGCGCCCGACACACACTGCCCGCCGGCTTCTGCCTGAATGCTGCAGCGGCAGCAACACGCCCGCTATACGAGGCCAGGCGGCGCGGTCTGTTTGGACTCGAGGGGGTTTGCAGGTGGGGCTGAACGGGCCAGTCTGAGCCAATCGCAGGCCACGACGCTCGCCCAATGTCAGCAGACCGACGCCGGCTCGAAACTCATCCACGCAGACACGTGAATACGGCACCCCGTCGTATTTCCCCCCCCTTCCGGCACAAGTCGCAAAAGTCCCGGCACACTCTTGCAATCTACATACGATCCGAGCACCGGAATAAGTACTTCTCAGCCGTGGATCTCACGACGTGAGTGGTTTTGATTTGCGAGACGCGTACCGTTCGGGTAATTTTGCACGTAGTAATTTTGCCGGCTCGCGCGAAACCCCGCGTTCGGTTTTGCCGGCGCGATGCCGCGTAATGCGCGATTCAGTCGCGTCCGCTTTCCCACGTTGGACGTCCCCACCAAATGCCCGCGAGGACGTAAGGCGCTCATTGGAGAGAAGGACAGACGAACTCGCGCTGCCTGTCAGCGCCCCGCCGCCAGAGCCGCCTGGCGTTCGGTTTCGTTTACGCCAACATAAAACGCCAGCATTATTTCTGGTCCCAATTATTCCACGATTTAAAAATATATAGTTACATACCTCAAACTATTTCATTAATTTAAAATAGAACTCAAACCCTTCAACTACTCTACTACACTTTATTGCATTTTGGTTAAGTTCTCCCTTTATTATGTAGCAAATTTTAAATATTAACTATTATATTAATATTTTCTTAATGACAAACCCTACAGTTACATTTATGACATCATCTCTACCATGGATATAGGTAAATTAAAAATAATGGAACACTTAATATCTTAGAAAAAATGCCTTACATCTATATTGATCTGTAATTTTTAAAAATGTTGCTCAATCTACTAAAATAAAATAAGTTCCAAAAGAAGTAAAATAAATTGTAAGAAAACCAAGAAGTACTCAAGTACAACTAAATCATTCAGTATCATAACAGTGCACTAGTACCTATCATTTAAATCACTCTTCACTGTTTTTATAAATAAGAAAAATGAGGAATATGAAAAAAAAATCTCTAAGAATTATGTAAACTATTAAATTCAAAATTATATAAGTGAAAGGATTATGATGACACCACATTTAAACTGACTGGTGTGATCAACATCATGATTTCTCACCACTACATCCTAATTTAGAAACCAAACATTCTCTCAACTACCCTTCTCAAGTTCTAATTCACAAATATATACTAGTATAAAAAAATAAGCCTTTCTTACCACCAAATGTTAATTTTCAACTGCTTCAATACTTATTCTAAAGTATTGAAAAACAGTACATTTTAAACACCTGTAACTAACAAAAACAGAGAATGCTCAGTATGCATCATTCATTTGCAAAAATATATCACTGTTTGAAAACTTATCACATACACTGTCAAGCACTGTAAACGTCTCCCATAACCATCCATACACACGGCTAATATCTGATCATTTTATGAACTTTTTTAAAGCAATTCTATACATTTGTACTCTTTATCACAGGTACTCTCTAGGTAATACAATTTTTTCTAGAAGATTTTTTGTGTAAAATCACCAAGTCAAGGTACTGTTCCTACAAATGAAAAACCTCTGTTCACAATATGGCTCATGGTGCTGTCTGCCACTTTTAAAGAGCCCGAAAAGAAATTTACGAAAATTATGGAAAAAAGGGACAAGAGATCAATGCAAAACATCAAAAAAATTTGCCATAGCCTGCAACTGCAGATTTTGTAAAATTTAGTCTGCTGACAATATTTTCTAATGTCCCACATAGTGCTGGACATATTCTATCCTAATGCCACATTTCTTATCATAAGCAAACTTGACGCAAACTTAATCTTATAAAAAAGTCTAAAAATGAATACAATTAATGGTAAGTACACATATAGGAAACCCCAAAATTAAGATCTAAACAGGACCAAATATCCTCATCAGTTGTGTTGTGAAACCCCCACCGGAGATAATTCAATGGCAAGAGCAGGATGGTTTACAATTACATAAATGTTAATTGCACCAATATTACTGTTTTTAATAGAGATCGTTGGCGATTCACACAGTAAATAGTTTTCAATAGGTTTGCATCAACTAAAATTGTAATACATTAGGAAACAAAGATAGTATCATTTCATTAAGTTACCATGTTGAATAGTTTTTAAAATGGAGGTATGTAAAAATATAACCATTTTAAACAAAGCATCTAACACCTGTTTAAACTTATTGTTTACTTGCAACATTAGGATTTACTTTTGAAGAGGCTGATTTCATTTTTGAGGTGGTTTTCCTAGTATTTTTCACGACTTTGTACTTTTCTCAGAAAAAAAAAGTAAAATTAGGAACTTATTAGTAAATCATGAAAATGTAGTACAGCCCTATGTACTACATTTTCACAAATAAAAGAAAATATTTCCAGGGAGCCAATACTGGCCTTGCAGCAAAGGATGATGTTTGATTTAATAGATGTGACCATTGTGTCTCCATGTTTTTTCTGCCCCAAATCTGAACAATCGTGCAGGACAAAAATGAGGGTGTATATCAAAAAGTTCAGTCTGCAATGGGAGTGAGTGAAACGTACCAATTTTGTACATAGTCTTCATCTCCTCATATTAACTGGCGAAGGTCAACAGATTCAATGTATTGAGATAATGTTTTTGGTTTACTTTGCAAATTTCTGGCTATATTCTAAATGCTTATGCTGACTGACAGAAAACAGAGACACAGTTAAGGTCAACTCTCAATCCAACACTCAACACATCTTATCCATTGAAAAGAATTTCATTTCATAGTACACGAGTTTCAGATAATCAAGAAATGGGCTTTCTGTATTTCTTTTTTATGCTAGTGAATCCTCCCCAGTGCATTGCTTCAATAGCAATGGTTCAAAACTTGACAGATATTTTCTAAGTTAGCTGCCTTGTTCTCAGTCTCTCAATTGTACTACTTCACACGAAGTTAACTCCTTTGGATGCCTTGATATCAGCCATGAGCAAGGCCAATCAAAGTGAGTAAGCTCATATTTAGAGATTCCAGGTGCATCAATTTCTAGTTATTAGTCCTATAAGTATTAAATGGATTGTTGGTGAAGTAGATACCTTTTTATTATGATAAATAAAGATATTGTCAGGTATCAATATCTTTATTTATTTATTTATCCTATAAGTATATTGCATGTTTCTGAAAATGGGAGGTATTCCTCTCCTGCTAGAACATGACAGCATCGTCCAAAATATTGGCTTGCAGAGTTTTCTATATCCAGGTGTTTCCTCGATCAGGGCAACTCCCCTTCCAGGTCAAGCTCTAAGCTCCCGGCTAGTGAACTAGTACAGTGGATGTAGCGAAAGTTGTATAGTGAGAGAGTGAGGAGAGGATGGAACAACGATGAAGAAGGAAGGATTGCATGCATACTGAGGGCTGTTTGAAAAGATATTACTTCTACCTATACTTACATTTACCTGATATTGATTGGAGAAACCATGTGGGGGAGGAGTAAAGAATGATTCCCAAAAAAGTGTATACTTTGCAAGGGAAAGAAAGGAGAAAATGTAAAAACATAATATTTCAAATAATTTAAGTTGAACTTAAAAAGTTTCATCGTCAGAGTAAATTGGACTGTTAGGGATATAAATAGTTTGCTACTAGATTTGTTTGAATGAATATTATTTCCCAATACCAACAAGATTTTAAAAGATTATTAGGATAATTACAAAAACAAAATACACTTACACTTTATGGTTCTTTAATTTCATCAAGAAATCACTTTATAAGAACATAAAAAAAAAATTCAATATTTGAACCAGTATTGACAACCCAATACTAACAAACTCAATTTTTATACATGTATACATATCTGACCCCAGTCAGTTTGTTCCGTAAAAACATAGTATTTACACATGATTATCTATCAACAGTTGTAGTTGAAAATACTCTAGCTGATTTGTCATCTGATGTAGCAAGCAGTTTGTTTCCATCCCTGCAACAATACGCTCAATATTAACATAAAAAAATGAAAATTCAGAAACCCTGGATGTGCAACTACAGTACGAAAGCCAAACTGGAACAAGACACTTGCTCTTACCTAGAAATCGCAATATCTAAAATATCTCTTCGATGACCCAAAAACTCACGAACTATTTCTCCACTTCTTACATCATATAATTTTACAGAACTATCAAGACATCCAGCATATAAGAAATGGGGATTGCGGTCCCATATTAGCCTACTGATTCCACTGGTCTGTTTTATTGAATGTCTGGCAACCTGCAAAAAGGTTTATTTTAAAGTACATATGAAAATATACATTAATAAGCTCTTTTAAAAGATAAACAATTATTGTTTCTTGTTAGGAAATGATATTTGATATAATTGTACAAGAAATTTGCACTTTTATGCATCAACAGAAACTTTAAATAAGTACCTGTCTAGACACATCCCAAATACAGAGTACACCATTTAAATTGCCTGCAGCAGCAAGAGATAAACTACTATCTTTGCAAAATGCCACAGATTCAATTGTGTTCATTTCACGACTTTCATCGTCATCATCATCAGATGCTGCTGCTGTTGAGGCTGATGCATTTTGCACAGTTGACAGAGTTCCAGCAATCTAAATGCAAATATAAGAACATTAAAAAAACTACATTCCAATTATTAGGTGGTAAAAAGTTAAAAAGAAGAACAAATCTGGAACTAGGTAATATCAATAAAAACCACAATGAATATTTTAAGATCATCTCATTGGAAAGAAAAGCAGTACTTATTCCATAAATAAGTGTCAGTTAACTACAGTAAAAGTTAAATGGAAGTATTTCACCCTGTTATTAAATAATGAACAATACCAATACACCTATAACCATCAATATAACATAAATAATGAAGATGACAAAAATTGGATCATCATTTTGTTCCTTGCATGTTACAGAAACTTGAACACTGAACGCTAATCATAAAGAGTTTACTCTTGTGAGGTGTATTTGTTTAACCCATCCTTAGATAACAAATAAGGCAGAAACAAGAGGGGGGGGCAAAAACAACTTTCAATGCAACTATGCAATTCAATATTTCCATCCTTTATTTGTACCAACAATAAGTTCTGTTAACATGCTTCAAACTATGTTTTTAAGAAAACAATATAACAAAAGAGGAAACTTTAGGTAAGAAACAAAATAAACAGAATCAGAGAAATTCATATCTATTTCATATAGTAAGCTTTAGGATAAAAAGAAATAGATCACCACCATACAAAAAGGATTTGCCAACAATCCCCAAAATAATGTGTGTAGATATGGTCAGATATGTATGGGGTAAGTTTTTCTATTAATATAAGACTGGAATAAAAAAGGTGTTTTCTGGTGTGATTAGTTTACTGGGAGACAATACATACTATTCTCGCACAAAACATCTCCAGAGATGACTATTTCTGAAGACTGTGTTGATTACCACCAAGGATCATAGTCAAGAAAACTTCAACAGTAACAGATATGCAGCATTGTAGGCTTTCACAGCCGGAGTCAATATTCATGTCTTCCGGACTGATGGGCCGTGGTTCAATTGGCTCTGAGATGCCAAACGTTTCGCCCACGACTGCGGTGGGCATCTTCAGTGGCGAGGTCTCGGGCGAAGTGTCCTGGACGGTGGCTGACTGGCGACTCAGTCAATAGGGTAGCTGCGCGCCCCATTGGATAACGTCTGAGATACACAATTCTCAGTCGCCAGTCAGCCACCATCCTGGACACTTCGCCCGAGACCTCGACACTGAAGATGCCCACCATAGTCGTGGGCGAAACGTTTGGCATCTCAGAGCCAATTGGACCACGGCCCATCAACCCGGAAGACATGAAGAATATAGTAACAGATATGGTTCAGAAGACGTTGATTATCATCCCTGACTCGGTGGGGAGGGTGTTTCAGTTCATAACAACCAAATAAATCATAAATTACTCAGACGTTATTGAGAGGTAAGCAAATAACTCAAACAACAAAACTATAATATGCACCTTTTCTCATGTATGTGAATGAAACAAGATAAAATGCATTTCTTACAGTTGCATTACACAGAATACAAAAACTGGTTTGCAAGAGCACAAAACATAGATTTTGAGGCATCCAAATACCCTGCACAATCCCTGTAGTGTTAAATAATTTATATTGTACACTGAAGACATGACAAACATCCCAGAGTTCGAAGATTTTGCGACTGACTGATGCACTAACAAAAAATCTGAAATGACGCACAAACAAATTAACACTTACAAAATATATAACAGTACAAACTCCCCAATATCGCATAGTACAGTGAACCTGTTCAAGACAGAACCTGAATAAGAAGAAAAACTCTCCAAGATGGAAAATATTTTCAGCCCCAGGAAAGATCAAATGTACTGACATATTACCTCACCTGAATAAAATTGAAATGAAAACTCTCTGTTTCTGTCTATTTTCCCAAAAAGGGAAAATTTCTGTTAACCTTATGGATGGACAGCGTTAACTTTGGTGTTCATGCTTGTTTCTGTTAATGCAATTCCTTTAACTTTGTTGGGACCAGTTTCTTTGCTTTCGTCAAGTATGTCTTGAACATCTTTTTCTGTTATAGTCCAGGTTCTGTTATAGTTCTGGTTGAGTTTTTAGGTAATACAGGATGGAGGAAAGGGATTATCTAATTATAAAAATATGGATTGTAGTTTGACAGAGAATGTTCAGTCATTATTTGGGGGTCGCATGCATGAGTCCCGTCAGGTAGTAGGGGTGGTGAAAAGTTGCAAGTTGATTTTTTTAAATTAAGGAACAAATTTGCTATTTATCATCTATTTTCTCCTCTTCTTGAATTAAGATCTATTTGTAAGTAGCGTTTGTAGCATAGATGTTGAAGGATGTTGTCTGGAAGTTGGGGTTTGATGTCTTGGTGGAAGGATGAAGATTTTGAAGGGATTGGCTTAGTTGCAGATTCTGGTGTTTAATTGCATGATCTACATCTTGTTGAGTCTAGAGGGGGTTTGAGGCTTGATTTTCTTGGTTATTAATCTTTTAGATTTTTTCCAGACACCGGCTGCTGTATTAGTTCTACATGCAGTGGTGCAGATTTACCCTCACTGCTCACCCAAAATTGACATTAGCTAAGTTGTAGCCTTAACAGAAACGCACGACTACAAAGAAAATTGTAGGTTTGGTCCAGTTTTGGTTGGGAATACTTGTGGAAACAGAAACTTACTTTTCCATTTTGTGTCGTAATTATATTTGCTTCACCATTCAAACTCCCAGTAATGATTAAATTATTGTCAGAACTTGCATCCATGCAAGTGATACAAGCATCTGAATCAGGATTTCCAGTTTGCAGTCGATGTAGTGTGTTTGTCATTTTAATATCAAAAACTTTAACTGTGCCATCATTGTAGCCAACTGCAAGTCGTTTACCTAAAATTACACAGATATGTGAAGTAAATTAAGTTAATTAAAGAACACATCATCTAACATAAAAATAATATTTAAAAAAAATTGTACATTACATTCACCTACCATCTGGCATTACCACTCCACAATTACTTTTACTACCATGACCAGCTAATATTTTGAATTCACCACTTGGAACTTTATACACATATACATCTCCTAAATCTGTGCCAACAAGGAGAACATTTGCTGCAGGGTGCCATTTCAACCACTGCAAAACAAATCAAAAATCAGTGACAGTCTTAAAACTAAATAAACTTCAATATTTTATCAAATATGATTTGAAAGTAAAATGAGAATATATATTTTAAATTGTCAATGACTGACTGAATTTTGTAACAAAATCTCTAATTACTATCATAATTGCTGTCATTGTTTACTAGAAAAATCCATTGGATATTCGACAATAGCCAGAATCAAGGATAATTGGTTAAACTTAATTTCTTTTAGGTCAAGAAACACTGTTTCTCTCCCTCTTCTCTATTTCCACAAGTAATGTTGTCCATCTAATATAAAAATTAACTAAAAGAAGAAGAAAGAAAAAAAAAGAAGAGAAAAAAAAAATCAAATTACCAGCAATTCATCAGTATTTGTGTCCCACACACAGGTTTTGGTTGACATTTTCCAAACCTGTATTGTTCCTTTCATATCTCCTGTTGCAACGTATGTTCCATCATGGCTAAATTCAGCACCAATAACAGAATCCTAAAACAAAATATATGCAATAATATATTTAAATGTCTAATAATTTACATTCATATATTTAATGTATAATAATTAATCATTTAATTTATTAATAATAACAATAATAATAATAATAATAATAATTATTATTATTATTATTATTATTATTATTATTATTATTATTATTATTAAATTCTAGGCAAAATGAGAGGAAAGCAAAACTCTAAAATATTTTTATCTCCACTAGATGGGGACGCTGAAAAAAGCAGAACCAACAAATTAAAAATGGTGCCTTTAATAGCAACACTGCAATTCGCAAAGAAGATTTGTTCTACAGAAGAAAATCATTACTTCTAATAGGACTTATATTTAAAACATGCAAGGTAAAATCATAACACTTGCCAAACTCCATGGCTAAAAACAAACTATTTCCTATTATTCTACAGTATTCAGCACACCATCATAATTGCATTAGTCAGAAAATATAACGCAATTTTAATCCTTAAATTATGTGGTGATGGTCATTTATCGATAGTGAAATATTTGAAAATTGCAAATGTAGAAACAAGACTAAGTACTGTAATTGTGTGCTGCATCACGCTGATTTTTCAACAGGAAAACTTATTGTCAAGCACCGGTAACGAAAGATTGGATAAATCATGAAAACGAACATTATAATTTTGGAGGTACTTTACATGAGGCAACATAAAGCTTCAAAAGTATTGGAAACTGTTTAATCTGGTGAGGCAAGTTATCGAGCTGGAGTGTTAGGAGGGTTGCGTCTTTAAAGCAGATTTTCCGAAAGTTGATATTTGTAATATCAAATTATCTTTGTTTAAACTTACATATGTAATAAGAAATTAAATTTTTTAGAATTTGTTAACAAAGGTCCATACACCTATTAAATCAACTTTTTCTGATTAGCTTAGTATCCATTCTGCAAAACTTTACCTCGTAAAAAAAGCGGTAAAATTTGCATTATGAGAAAATATTTTTATCTACAAAAATTGTACACATTTTTCAAAACTTGTTTCAATGTTATACTCAGAGATATATCTGTACAAATTTCATAAGCCTATCTTTAATAGATGCTGAGAATTAGACTGAAACATTTAACATTGCCAGACTAGGGCAGCATTCAGTGTCCTCTTAAAAATATACATAAATATAACTTATTATCCCATGTCTTTCTGTTTCATATTGGTTGTTTCCACCTGAAGCAAGAAAAACTAGTGGGGTATCAAAGCACATTCTTTCTCGCATTTCTTCTAGATGGTCCGCAACATTATAGATATTACATAAACAAGCAAAAGGGTTTTCAAGGAGCAAATTATTTTTCTGATCCGAGACTCGAACGCAGATCCTCGGAATTAATGTGCCGGCACCCATACCACTACGCCACAGAAACGCCCAAATGGTTCAAACTTGGACAAAAGCATCAAAACGTAAAGACCCCATTCATATAAAAAAAACTTCAATCAAAATATTCCTTAGAAATCCCAAAGCCTCCAGTCCGTTCAGATCAATCAGGGCATATCAATTTTGAAGAAAACCAGCTGAATGGTTTAGTCATTAGCGTTGATCACAGACAGTCAGGAAACGAACAACCTGACGTTTTACCGTCTATCGATGTTTCGTATCAAGAACCAACAAAACATGGATTCTGTATACACCACCAGTTAAAGGACTTTTTTTCTAAATTTAGCAACAGGAGTTATCCACATTTTCGTTACCAAAACCCGGCAAAAGGTTTTTTATGCGAAATTTCGGACTTTTCTGGCGCACTTCTGGATTACATAACTTTTTCTTCTTACGAAAAATTCCTAAAGTGAGAAAATAATAATAAATTTGGAACAATTAACGGATATCTAAGTTAGTCACATGGGTACTGGTTATATTCTATTTAAATTTAATGTTGATGTATTCAGTATTTTACTTAAATCGGATCATACATGTGCACAGAAAGACGAACAATTGATTTGATGGTACATACGTTTTACAATTCGGACAAGAGATGTGAAAAACATTTTAAAAGTTCAAAATTCGAAAATCATACATACTTCCAATTTATATATCTTAATTCTATTTGTGATTAAACTTGTTTTCAATCAAGTTTCTGGAATTCTCAATTATTTTTTGCGGCAACAAAAAATTGTGACTAATATTGTGTAAATAATATTCCCCGACCAACACTCGAACCAGCGAACTTCCCCTCCGAAGAATTGAGTCATACCAGCGTATAAGCCACCTCGCTCACCCTCGTAGTGCATGGATTTTACACTTTTATAATAATAATAATAATAATAATAATAATAATAATAACAACAACCTATATTAATATATAGGCAGAAGTGCGTTGACTTACAGAGTGCCTATCTCCGAATCAACTGAACCAATGCCGATGAAACTTTTGTGATGGCTTCCTTTAAAGGCCTGGTGTATTGTAATGATTTATAACCGTAAACCTTAACAGAGAGTATATATCCTTAGAGAACCTTAATATAAGAACAAAATAATTACTTTTCTGGACATTTTTCGCCTGGCTTTACATCACAGACTCAAGAGTGTATCAATGTCAATAGGGTAGCTGCGCGCCCCATTGGATTACGTCTGAGATATACTGATTTCATCAATGCAGAGAATTGTGTATTTAGAGGTCTGTTCATTTACGTCATTGTCTAATCCAAAATAATTCTGAGTTTTCTCCATTTTATTTCCAAAAGTAACTTGGATATTGATTTTAATTACGAGTAGGCGTGAGTGCACAAGAGTCGAAATGTTTGGAAAATATTTTCTGACGGATGTGGCTAATATTGTCGTATAAAAGGTACGAATGCACACATGTTTAGTTGTAGTAAATTATTAGGCATAGAATTTTTGCAAGACGGGAAATCCATTGTTGTAGTATGTAAACACTAGTAAAATGTGGCATCGCTGACGGTGTAAAATGTTTTAAAAATTAAATTAAAATGAAATATGCCGGGAGATTCAAGGGTTCAAATTAACTTTACTTGTTCTCTTAAAGATGTCAACATCAGTGTTGACAAATCCACGACAGAAAATTATGGCGTAATTGAGCGAAAAATGTCTTTGAGTACTGGAGTGTAATCAACGCCACCTACATAGATCTATTTGGGAGGCGTTGGTTTCATTCCCGGCATACATCGCAGCGCCATAACACGTTTTTGGACATTTTTTTACAATCTTACGGCCGGATCTGAAAACAAATTATCAGTTCCCCATCAGGAGACCGAGACGCGTAGAATGACACTTCGTATGTCTCGATTGGTGCACAGGAAGTGGTCTAACCGTGAGTGACGGAACCGCATATCCACACACTCGGGGAGTTACTCGAATACTACGTAGGGATCTTTAAGCAAGAGTCTGTGTTGACACCACGGTAAACATCTCCGTTTCCCACAATATTGTTTCAGCACACCAAATTCATTACCGTTATAAGTTGTCGTGCACCTCAATCGCCACCCGATCAGCAAAACGTCATGTTGTAATAATCCAGAAAACCTTCTCACATTATGTTATTATACTTTATGTGTGCATATAGATGGAATGAAAGCGACATGGACATGGGCTACGGTGACATTTATAAATAAAGCTGCGGAAAATGAAAGCGTACAATCCATTTAGCATAGTTCGCTTGGATTCAAAAGGAAGATTTCACTCTCTGCTATTACAACGTTTTCATAGCAGAGACAATATTAACATTCTTCTGTTCCACTAAAAAATTAGTTCGGTAGGGCTGGTAGGGGCGTTTCACGAGATCAAGGATGTTTGACACCCATAGAGAGAAGAGTCCTCGAAAACTAGTAAAGTTCAGCTCGAAAATATGCTTACATTTTTAAGTGCAGTAAACGCACATTTGATAAAATTATAAAAATCAAACAGCAAATTTGTGTGAAGTTTCGAAACCTCTGCAGGGAAACAGATGTACACACTTCTAAACAAACAATTCTGCAAAGCATTTATTGTAAAAGTGTGAAAAATCCATGGAAGAACAGATTTGCCAGTATCTTGTAATTCAAGTGTAAATAATCGTAATAGCAAGAAAAAATTTAATAATCGTAAACATAATTATGTACACCACTTCTTTTTCCCATAAACTTTTCACAACCTCTCTGTAAAGCAATTGTGAACATCATGGGAGATGCTTATAATATATATGCTAATATTTGGGAGTTATCACATTTTTCCTGTATACTCGACAAAACAAATTTCACTCTATACAACATTTAAAAAGTACAATACAAATAATGGTTGATCTTCACTTATTCGAGAAAATCACAGGAGCAAAGGGGGTTAGAAATAATAAAATATAAACTGGTCTTATCAGTCGCACACCAACGCCATTCCGGAAAACACCAAAGGGAATCAACAAAGAATCACAAAATAAATTGCAAAATTGAAAAATAAATAGAAAATGTTTATATATTTAAGAACTAAAGCTACATGTATTTAGCAATATATTAAAACATTTTCTGCTATTTTGTGGTAAATTAATTTCAGTTTTTGAGGTACTAGCAAGGGCATATTGAACATTTTGTGCACTTGGAACCCTTTTAAAGGGGAAACAGATGGCCACATACCGTTTTAGAAGAAGTTAATATTCTACATGTTGCATCAAATGCACAACTGATCTCCTGTTGACTACAATTTTCATACCGTAGATTGGGGCGACTTTGATATCTCCGTGACACTAGAACGTTTATGTGATGAAGCAGCTACTACTCTTGACTGATATATTTCTTGTGTGGCAACTGACTATCCTGGATGTCTATGAGTGCCAATAGAGATATTACTGGTTCATAAGATTCATAGTTGTAACTGTATTTTGTTTTAAAATTTGTGAATTATATTTTGAAGACATTTTTGTGGCGGAAAATTTCCAAGTTGAGACCAAGGTATATATTTTATTGAATTATCTGACAAGTTAGTAGTAAGTAGGATTTTTTGCGAGAAAAATAGCGTATAAAAGAATATTGTAACCTAAAATGTCACAGAGTTTTATGATCATTTGGTGAATGGGGTGACTTTGACAACAGTCAAGGGGTGACGTAAATTAGCATTTTTTGACAAATAAATCATGTAACACAGTATTAAACAACAATTTTTCTATTACATGTTACATTATTTAACATAAAGCAACTAGCATTGCACCTTTCAATTCTTCCAAAGTTATGACCAACCTTCCTGATGCTCAATCAGACCATAATGTTGAAAATGTTTTGCAGCTCTCTTTGATTACATATTTGAAGGATAGAAGACTTGCTGACATTGGTGCTAAGGAAGTAAGAAAGAGGAAGAGACTTGCCGTTGAACCAGGAAAAAGGATCACTTCAGCCAAAAACCGTAAAACATCCGAGATGGATGATGTTTTGGAAAATGGAGAATTGTCATGGTGAGAAAAGCAAATGAAGAATCACTGTCAACACCAACTTCACAAGCACTTACGCCAGGAGTGTATGTCTTAGTGAAGGTGGTGTCAGGAAAGGGAAAATGCACAACCTACAGATATGTCGGTTTGATCCGCAAAATACTGAGCAAGTGGGAATATAGAATAATTGGTTTGGAGAGTGTGGATACCACTTATCAGATATTCAAGCTGGAGGAAAAAGGATATCTTTGACGTTGATTTGATGAAAGTAATTGCTGCTCGGATAGTCAGTCTGAAAATTGAAAAAATATCAAAGATATTAACTGATGGCTCTCTGAATATCTGTTCTGGCCCAGAACAGCATTCAAATGCAGCAGTTCCACCTCCTAACTTGAGACGCTCAAACTGTATTCGTGGCCAGGTGGTAGATGAGCTGTGAATTAATATTTCATTGCTGCACCAAATTTGTGGCTGCTTACACTGCACTGGTGGCTGATGCCTGATGTGATTGGGGCACAAGGAATGGGAGTAAATTGTGATTCTTCTCATTGAAATAGTAGATAATATGAAAGTGTAAATATGTATAAAGTATAAACTACATAAGGCAAGTAAGTGGCTCTGTTTTCTTACATTCTTGAACTTAATATAGAAAAATTTTAACTCATGAGAATTCATGTCATTATTATCATACAATGGCATGCTAATAACTTATAAAAAATGTAATGTATCTTTAAAGATCTCCTGAACTCATGCTTAAAATGTCAAGAAATAAAAACTCAGTACACATGCATCAAAGTTATAATATAAAACCTTCATAAAATATAATATTATTGACTTTCATAAAATAAATGATTGGACAAAACAAACAATAAATCAATTTAAATAATGTGTTTATGGGCAGGTCCACCTGTAAGTGAACACTGGAGTTTCTAAGAAGTGATTACATTCATCAAGGATTTCAAATTGTTTTGTAAACATACAATAGCACCACCACCTCATCTGCAGTACAAACACTTTCCAGGATTCAAGTGCATATATGAGATCAATGCAAAAGTGTGTAGTGATTAATTGTTAAGTGATTCCGGACACGCCAACTACCAGGGTAATTAGTCCCATAAGTGAAATGCATGTTTTTTAGCTTGGGAGATGGGGTGATCTTTCCCCTGCTGTATGGCGAGATCCGGTACAGACCTACAGTCGGCTTGCGGGATTTTCCCCAACCAGGTATCTCCCACCAGCAGGGCACTGTCCTAGCTGGGACAGGTGCTCTTAGCTCCTGGTAGGTCACGCAGCATGTGTGGTAGAGTTGTGCATGTTAGTGTGTGTGTGTGTGTGCATAAGAGGTTAACATAGGACAAGGAAGAGCGAGGTGAGATTGCACGAGGTCTGTCCGTGGCCTGTTTGTTAGGGTACTGCTCCAGTTGGCTTTGGATCGGAGAAACCACAAAAACTACTGATCAGAGCAGCCGGCTGCTAGAATTCTCCTCCAGACAGCGACTGAATTTGACCTAGCTAACAAGCTAGTGTTGAAAATCCTGCCCCTATTGGGACTTGAACCTAGGACCTCCCGGTCAGAGGGATTGCAGTTACATCAGTTGATACCCAGAGCCATCTCTCCTGGTGCAAGAGACATACACCACAACACCAAGTGTAAGAAAAGACGATTACGATATACAGAATAGCAAAATTTGAAGCATAACTCCAAATCATGTGAAAGAAAGTTATTGTAAAAACAAATGCGCATTTGAGCCAACTCCGTTGTATTATTATCAAACATACGATTAGCACTGAAAAATTCAAACTATCACACAGACTTAGACAGTTCTATTAATAAAAGCGCTGCATGATAAAACAGCGACTCATTATCTAAATGGAGATTGAGAAAATAAATTATTCTAGGGACGGTGGTTGTTGTCCCCCTCCCATCACCCTGATGGAATGCAACTGATAAAGAGTTTGAAAGAATATAGAATTTGAAAAATAGTTAAACTTTACCGAGTGTCCTTTGCATTCCAAGATGATATTTGCTGAATTTATGTCCCAAACAAAAGCTCTGTCATCTTCACCACCTGTCACTGCAAACTGGCCCAACTTTGGTTCAATATCACAACAAAAAACAGAACCTAAGCAAAACAAAGTCACATTAATTTTCAAAGCAATCTAGTTTATAATTTCACAAATATTTTAAATGTAAGCTACCTGTATGATTGTCGAAAATTAAATCGGCATCGTCTCTAGCAGGGTCATCAGTTGACATGTCATCTTCGTCATCAAAATCCTCTTCATTGTACTCTAAATCCTCTACTTCTTCTGGATTCAAATCATTGATATTATTTTCTTCTATGATCTCTTCCACATCATCTTCATAAACATCGAGATTATCCATAATATGAGATGGTGAAGTAGGAGGTGTATTTTTAACAGGCATCTATAGAAACGAATGTACTTTCTACAAAAGCAAAATCAGACGCAATGTTATGAAATACGCAAGTACAAGATAACCCAACTTTTAATATGATATTGCAATAAATTGCACACCACCAACTTTTATATTCGTCAGTAATCAATTAACTGAGAACGATCTCTATTAGAAAAGAAATATGCATAATTCTTACCTTCGGCAACAGACAAATGAATAAGGTTAAAACTCAACACATGACCTGACGGACCTAACCTTATCGTTTCGGTTGCCGTTCAGTTGTCCGCCGAATCCAGATCTGCGCGTGCGCCTCTATGGAGAAAAAAATCAGGAAAAATCTTGCTAGATGTTGGCACTACTGTTGTAACAAGTGAAGTCAAAAGGGCGAGTAAACAAGTCCACACTGGACTCCACTATAAAACCTGCCCTCTAGCCTGTTTTTGATAAGTAATTACGAGTAATGCAGTGTAAAAAGACTATAATTTTTTAATTGTCAATTTTAAAATTTAAGTCTGGAAAATTAGCAATTATAAATACTGAAACGTCAAAATGTCATCTTTAACTCAAGGTGAATTTCAAATTATGTGTGTAAATAAATATTTGGGAAGAATCTGTTGATATTATATCTAATTATAATGTTTATGTGAACTATTTCAGCTCTTCTGCAAGTGAGGTGGCAGCCAATTATTCAGTTCGTGAGGTACAGAAGAATTAATATACAAAAACCTAGACCGCCTCATTATGTCCGTAAGTTAGTTTTACATGTGTGTGAACCTCAGTATGAGAAACCAAAAAAATCTATTCAAGAACTCTGTTTACGTCCTGTATTTCTTACCAAAAAACAAAAAGTTGAGGTGGGTACTTTTGTAACTAATGAAATTGTATTTAGTGAATTTCAAAACAAACATTTTGAAATGTTTTGTGCAATAACAGGAAAATCCTTTCCAAACTTTACTGGCACGAGATCTTGTGAATTGGTGTGAAAAATCAAACTGTATATATATTTTTCAACAAAATTCTATTACTGGACCAGATATTTTTAAAGTAAGTATATATTTAAAAAAAGTTCATTTTAAAATAGATTATTAGAGAACTAACATGAAGTTTATTCCAAGGATCTGAGGTGGTGTTGTGTTACTGATTGTTTACAAATAACAGTGTTTTTGGATCAGTGATCATTCTCGTATGCTTAGAAACTAACTATGACTTGTTTTAATCAGTTTTTTTGTTTTGTTTCCTCTCACTCAGGCAAAGGTTTTATTTAAAAGACAACAAATGGCATTGCGAAAATATGATCGACCAACAATGGAAGAAGCATTTTCTAGTAATGATAAATATAAGGCCCTTTTACCATTGATAGTTGGAAGTCCCGTTTCTTTAGCTTTCGGGTCTGAACCACAGGTATCAACGGTCCTTAAAATATGCAGAAAGGTGCCAGAGCTAATTCTTCTAGGTAAGAAAGTGTTAAAAGACCAAGTCTTATGAGTGTGATGGGATATAAGTACAATTGTTTTCTTTTTTATGTTATAGATAGAATTCATTTATTTTCCTTATTGTGATAAATAAATGCCCAGCCAAAGTCAGGTATTTCCACTAGTTACTTGTAAGGTTGCCTTTTTAAGCATACCAGAATGTTACCTGTTGTCCTCTCCTCACCTACGACAGGGTTATGAACTCCCAAGATTGGCAAAAATGTCTTCAAACTTATTGACAATGCCATTATGGTAGTTTCTTCTATCTTATAAGTTTTTCATAAGTGTACCTTTATGAATTGAATGCAGTTATTTATAAATTCTGTCAAGAAGTTTCTGAATCATTAATGCTTCTGGGATTATTTTTCAGCTGGAATTTTTGATAATAGATTATTAAGCAGATCTGAAATGATGGAATATACTTATTTTCCTAATTTACAAACTGCTCAAGCACAGTTGGTTTCTGTGCTAAATTCTGCTGCAACTCAACTTGTTCAGAATATGAATCAGCATCAGCAAACATTAGTTAGTCACTTAGAGAAACACGTCGAATTAAAATCTGAAGATAAATAACTATCATTCCTTGAGTAAATGAGAGAATTATTGTCTGTTACAAACTTTGTGTGGTTTCTATATAAGCAATTTTTGAATGAGTGTGAATTGAGTGTAAACTTGCTGTAGATATTAATAAAAAATTATTTCAAATTTCACTGAATTGTCCATTTAATATTGTATCTCGTTTTACTTTTAATTTTCCTTTAGTGCCTCCAACAAAAATGTTCTATTTTAAATGAATACTTGATTAATACCATCTATTATTTATATATTTATTTGTGAATTGTAACAAACATGACAGTTCTGAAAAAATTTAATATTTCTGTATGATGTGTATGTCAATGCAGTAAATGATATAAAGATGGTACTGGAATAAGATAGGCAAAAGTGCTCCCCAGGAACCAATTTTTTTTTATGAAGATCATACTGAAAGAAGAAAAGAAACAAACAGTTTTTTACCAGATTTAAATCAATTTGCGTGGAGTACTTCATACAAATGGAAAAATAAAAGAAATTTTTATATTCTTTTAATGGTTTAACTACTTGTTAAGCACTGTGCCTATGAATAATGACAATGAAAAAATTACTTTTTTCTATGTTTTTTAAGAATATCTTATGTTCTGAGATATCGTGAAAAGAGCTAAATATAAATTGTAACCATGTACTTTCTCTACAGTTTTCCAAAATTTCAATGTTTTCTTTTAAAGTTTACTCCTGATGGCTCCATGTAAATAAAACAGTAATTAAATAATTTCTTATTTATAATTTAAAATTAGGTTTTGTTTTATTAGTTTTCATAGTTTTTCTGTTTTGTTTTTATTGAATGTGAATTAGAAAAGATAAATAACAAAATCCTTAATTGTAAGAATAATATTATAACCTTTTGTATTTGAATATTGAACAAATTAATTAAATTACCATTTTATTTATATTGAGCGGTCGGGTGCAAATTATAAGATAAAATGTTGAAATTATAGAAAGTAGAGAATTTACAGTGTTGCAATTTGTATTTTCTCCTTTTTATGACCTGTGTCAGAAAATGAGATATTCTTAAAAACTGAAGTCAAAAAGTAATTTTTTTATTTTATTTTTATTGTAAAGGTCAAAGTTGTGCCATAAATGCCTGAAAAAATTCTTGAAACAGCTTTGTAGTTCATAAAAAATTGCAAAAATGATAAAGGTGAGATTTCCTTTGTTATCTGTTACTCATGTTAAATTCTTAATGTTGATGATCCATTATCTCCGAAACTATTGGAGATACCAATTTGAAATGATTTCTGTATATTATCTGTACTAGTGTACTGTTGTACTGATCTACATTGAAAAGAATTGTTAGGCAAGAAACTGAAGTATAATCTTTTTTTCATACCTTGTATTTTTTAAATTTTTTTAAAATTTAATGACAAATTTATTTTAGGTTTAATAGTTAATGAGAAGACAGGGTATTTGTAAGAAAACTGTGTTTTGAGAAAAATGTTCTGAAATTTATCCTTGGGTAAAGAAATACCCAGCATGTTTATTGTATTATTTTATGTAAAAACAACCTGCTCCATATTGTGAATTATGCTCATTATTGCTGATATCAGGAAGCTGTTTTCTCTTCTCTTCCTAATTTTTTTGGTAATTTTCTCAGCTGAGGTCTGCAGGGAAAGGGGAGGGTGCTTGAATTCTGGAGTTAAGTTTTTCATTACTAAACATATTTTCCGCATTGTTAATGTTATTAGTCTTTATGGTTGGATTTATTTTCTTTGTTCACAAGCAATTTAAAACACCTTTTGAATTAGTTGACATTTCTTTCACACACAAGGCTATCCCACCACTCGCCCCAAGAGAGAGAAAATAACACTTAATTTTAAAAACAAAGAACATCAGGCTTACCAAGTTGCACAGATAAACAAGATTATATGAAACTGTGAAAACAACAGCCTTCGAGAGTCAATAGTTTCAGAACTATTTTGAACAAGTTTGAAACCATGAAACTTGTGAAATGTCAATCTGTCTGTGATAATGCACATTCAAAATGTAATAAAGTAAACAAAAAACAACAATTTTTCAATGAAATATGTATCAAAATGATCAGAAAACCAGAGTTTTATTTTAAGAAAAAACCATCAAAATTTGATATTTTTCAGGTGAAATCTCACCTTAATATTCAAGTCATAGGTGCAATGTGGTTAAAAAGTTTAAACTGATTTAAGAATATAAAAAAAAAACAAACTTCCATTTGTGTAATTCCAGGCAAATTGCTTTAAATCTGGTGAAAAACTTTTTTTTTTTAACATGAAATACAGTTTTCAACTCAAAAATATTTGGCCCCAGGGAGTACTTTTGGTTATTCCACTATCCCCTTAGAAATTTGATTGCATACTATTATTATTCAGTTTTCTTTACAGTGTCTGATTTAACAGTATTATTTCCTTAACTTCCAAAAACAAAAACTGTAATTGATATATCATATCTCTTACGCAAGAGAGCCACATCTCTGAAAAATTTTAAATTGAGATACACTCATTGTTAGATCTCTCTTTTTCCGTTATGTGGTAGGCAACAATGCCATTTTTTTAGTTTTATAAATAGCCAAGTAATAGCAATTCAATTTAAATTCAATTCCATGTTTTTAAATGACTTTGAGAAAATTTCCTCTCTTTCAAAATTAGTGATTTTAGAGTTATTGCCGTGTTGCATTGGGGGTGAATGTTTACAGAGCATACATTCTCACTTCAAATAAATTTATGATATTTGTTTTAATAAAAATAGGTTGCCTAATATTTTGTATGTTGTTAATGTTCAAGGACAGGAAAGAATCATTTTGAGAATTCAGTAATTTTGAAGATTATACTAAATGTAAGGAAATTCTAAATACATCAGTTCAAAACATAGTCCTTGGTGTGAATATAACAGAAAAGAAGAGAAAATGTAGAGAAGTGACATGACAAATGAAGCAACATGTCTGTTGGGAAAAGGTTACTCGAGAAAAGAAGACAATCATAGTAGGGTAGTATCATTTGCCGATTTAGGCAGTAAAAATCTGGAGACAAAAATAATGGCATAATTGGCTTTATTACGGAAGGTGTATTTATTTTTAAAAAAACACAAAATGTGAGTAAACAAAGAATACATAATTGTATCATCAATTTGAACAAAGGACTGAAAAAGGCATTGCAAGATGTGACATTACTTGTCAGAACATGTATGAGACTTAGTCTGAATGAAAGTTTCTCTAGATCATCAACAAAAGTGAACAATTGAATGGCAAAACTTTATTACAGCAGCAATTATTGTAACATTGTACGTGTTGTACCAGTCTCCCACAAAATCATCAGAACTGAGAAATACATCTACCTGCAAGATCAACATTTATATCCCTGTGTTGTAGAAGTCTGCCACCTGAAATAGAGCTCTATGCATACTAAAAACAGCATGCATACAGAAAAACTTTGGAGCTGTTTTTGAGAAAATCGTGTTTATGTATTTTTAGAAAATTGTCACTATTTGACACAAAGTTAAGTGAAGACTACTAATACTTTGAAACAAAAAAGCTCATGAAATTTTATAAAAAAATTAAAATCATATGTTGCATTAAACAAGAAATCTCTGGCATTAATAACATTTATTTTTATAATTTTAAAAAATTCAGAGATTTTAATAGCAATAAAACTTTTACCATGCTCACTTTTCGGTATTTTAACAAGAAATATAAAGAATAATTAGAGCCATTTTTGAAAAAAGTATGAAAATGTAGAATGAACTTCATGTAATGAACCTCTGAAAATTAAAATATTCATTTCAACTTCTTTCACTTAAGCCAGATTGATCAAGAAATTTTGGAATAACCCTTTCATGGAACTGTAACCAAATTGTCTTTAATAAAACATTCTACACTAATATTCACCCAAAGAAAAGATTTCAAATCACCTTTTTCAAGTCTCAACCATACATTGTTTTAGAGCAGGGGTCTTCAAACTATGGCCTACGGGACACATCCGGCTCTCAGCAGTATTCTATGTGGCCCGCCATCCTAAAGTATATTCTAATTCAATTCAATAGTAACACAAGCTTTAACATTTTATTGTGAGATATAAGAATCAGGTTTCCTATTGTTACACATTCTTTGGATCGTATACCAGCCATGTCGCAAGTGTTGCACCATTATAAATCCAACATAAAGAATATTGAAATGTCGTTTTTGCTATTTCCAAATTAGTTTTTACCATTGACATCTTTTTTAATCTCTGATATTGACTGCAGTATGCTTATGTTGGCAGATGCCAAGCATGTTACAAATGAAATTAATAAAAATTGCAAGGAGAAAATACCCTCGTATACCACCTATACACTTATATCAAATCATTTAGGCAGAAATTATAATTTGTAGACAAAGATTTTACTACAAAATCTTTGCTACAATACTACAATACTCACTACTCTATATGTAAGTTATTAAGTTCTCAAATTGGTTCTCATCTCCCACTTCCAATTTTGTTTGGGTATCCTTCCAGAATTGAAAATGTAGTTCTGAAATAGATTAACAGACTTAGATATTAACTCCAGAGGAGACATAAGAGTTTTTCAGAACCCATTTTCATGAGATACTGAGCAAGTCCCAGTAGCTACACAAATAGAACTTATTAACCTCATGCTGATGATTTAATGCAGGAAAATTCCAAGAAAGAAATTTGATTGACTTAGTGAATAACTCCTAGTGAATCTTTATCCAAAATTTAACAACTTTTCCAGAAGTTTCTTGGTACCAGTTAGAGCTGTGATCTGACTTTCTAAAAAATTAAGTGTGTAAAGAATAAGTACAGATGTGCCTTAGGTGATAAACATTTGAAAAACATTTTAATAATAGGTGAAACAAAAATTGAAACACAAATTAACTTATTGTTAGAGTCTGAAAAACAATTTCATTGCTCTCATTAAAGTACGTTTTAAAATTATTTATCATTTCTGTGTTTTAGAAAAGAAGTTTCTGTAAATAAATTTTGAAGTCTTAAAATTGTAACCCTCAACGTGTATTAATCATCACAAATATGTCCTGAATTGTGTGCTCAAATTCCCATATGTATTTTAAGAAATTATTTGTGAATTGTTAACTGTTTTGTTGTTCTTGAAATAAAATTTCATTTGTCAAATAGGCGATAAATTCCATCCTTCCATGAAATTTAATTTTTGGATCTTGAGGTTCTTAAATATATTATATTCATATTCTGCCCCCAGTAGAAGAAAGTTTGGAGACCCCTGTTTTGCACTGCAGGCATTTCAGGCAAGTAAAATATTTAGGATATCAAATAATTATGTAGTGCCTCCATGGAGTTTTAGTTCAAGTAACTAATTTTCTTTATAGATTTATTGAAGGTGACAGGGTGCAATTGGTAGATAAGGTTAATTGGTGTTGTAATTATTTATGAATTCAATAATATACTTTCACAATAAACAGAAAATGACAGCGGTGACATATTCAATGGCAGCAGCTATTAGAGTAAATAATGTGGGGGCAACCCTACATTTACCTGTCCAGGAACGTCTTTGTAATATATATCTTCCTCACAACTTTTTGACATTTTGAATAGCGGAGGTTGACGAAACATTTTGTGTATTCCTTGTTACTGTTTAATGTTTGAACTGTAACATAACATAACCATCGTCATAATGTTGCATTAAAAGTATATTTTGTAAAAATATGAATTAGAATTAAATTAATGGATATACTGGAAATTGTTTAGGGAAGACATGACCCCATGTCCCCTATGTCCCCTAGTGTCTGAAATGCCTGTGTTTCAGATTGTTAGAGGTAATTTAGTCATTTTATTGTATCTCCACCATCAATAATCTGGAAAATTGGAAATTACATAATTTTGTTGTGTTTTATTGTGCAACAATAAAAATTATGTACATCATTTAAACAAATGAGAACTTAAAAGTACTATCTCTCTTAACATTTTATCAAACATTATTTCTGCATTTATCTTTCAGAAGGAAATTGTACTAGACGAGGAAAAACCATTATTTCATTTCCTCCAAAAATTTACAGGTTTTCATGTGTGGTTAATGCAGTCTTTCAATATTTCATTAGTGATTAGTTACTATCTAAAACATTCCAAACAGACTGTTAGAGCTTGATTTCTGTTATATTCTGAAACTGCCTATTTTACAGCTTCTGCTTAACTGACTAGAAATACTCATCAGTTTGTGAATACAATCCACAAAACATTATTGAACGAAAGAAATATTTTTGAAGGTATTGTACATATATGTACATCTTAATGCAATTAAAGAATTGTACAATAGATAAACTCGTAATGTCAACAATATAAAACATAGGAAAATGAGAGGATTCCAAATCTCTCTACTCTTGCAGTCAACCCACACTCTCCCAACTTACCCATATCACATCGAACTTTCAGAAAACATCTTGATGCTAGCTTCTCTTCCACATAATTTAAGATATTTTTCAATTATACATATGGTAACCAAACATGAATATTATCATTGTCTTTGTGCATTTGGCAGTGGTTTGATGAGGGAGGAGGGACCCAGACCACTTAGTGCTGCAGACCTGATAAGCGTGTGAGCGCAACAGCAGCATCCAATTCCTCTCGAAGATGTCCACTGGAGGGCCACATTTCGGAATTTTCTGTGCTTTGTGTTTCAACACCTACTAATCACAAACAAAAATAAAAATAATCTCAAACTTTTTTATTTCCTGCAATTTAAAAAAAATCAAGATAAATGTAATGTAAGAATAATGTGAATAAACTAAAATGAAGCGAATGAAAATATTAAACAGTATATTTTAATTTAACACTTTTGGATAAATCCATTCATTTCTCAGCCTCAATTATTTTTTTATACATTTTGCAAGAATGTATTTGATCGCAGTTTTCATACCTGATATATTCCAGTGATGAGATCGTTTGTTGTCATGTGTAGATGAGGGGGACTTCCATGTTACATTTTTTGCAGACCAAGCAATGTAACTTTGTCCAGGTTGATATTTCGCAGCACTTTCTAACCACTTTGACAATAGTAAAGGTGGGCAGTCTTCTTTTTTGGCCTTCTTCACCTTCCTACTGGTTTCATCTTCTTGAGTATCACTGCCTGTGCTTGTACCTTCATCAGTGCCAATGTCTCTCAAATATTTTTCCATCATGTGGCTTTTATATTTGCTGCTGGATGCTGAAGGAGTCTTGATAAATGGTGTTTCTACCACTAGTTCTTCTGTAGTAGAACTGATTTGTGAGCACTGAGGCAAATCAGAGATTGTTGTTGAGCCTGCTGGAACCAGATTATCCTTTCGATAGAGTACTGAGTAACTATGGTCCATAGTTGCTGCATCTGCTGTAAATGTTGCAGTTGATGGACAACTGCTCATATCTTCTCTTTTTGATGTACTTTGATCTAAAAGAAAATAATATTTCTTTATAATACCAATATTGCAAATGCTACAATACTCAGACCAACATTCTTTCAATAATAATTTTATATGTACATGAACAGAATTAAAGCACTAGTTAAATTTTCTGAGTTTATGGAAAATTTGAGATCATGTAGTTTGCAAATTTAAGACTGTTTAAGATCAATGTTTTTGAAATATACTAGTTACAAGTAAATTTTATTCCTGACAATGATGAATGTCTTTCGTGGTCTTTCAACAAGCATTCAGACACTATTATTGTAATTGAGTTATAAACATTCAGGGTTGCTGTGAAGGTCGAATTTAGATTCTTGTTCATTTGTCATCTAACTTGTAAGCATTTTGTATCCTTAAATAACCATGAGGAAATTAAGATCTAATATTCATTGTTTTTAATCAATAAATGTAGCTGATAATTATATTTATAAGAAACTTACATGATGTTGCAATTGCTTAATGTATTGTTTTTCCATTAAATTGTTTTTATACTTTTATTTCTAACTGAGTAAGTAAACTTTTTGTCTTGTGAAGTAGAATGGTGTTTGGCCAATTAAAAATAGATTCTTTTGTATTTAAATTATTAGAGGTACTTCTATGTTGTATTTCACATTGTACATAATTCAGTCTTTAACAATATCAAAACAATTCATAGAAAATTATTTTTAGTTTTTTATTGTCACCATTTTATTTTACCTAAGAAGTTCAATTCAAATATTTTTTTACTCACTTTTATTTGCCTTTAATTATTTAAAGAATTGAACTTTGTGTTTCGTTATTAACTCTAAAATAATTTTCAATTAATCAATTAATTGTTACTTTTCAATCAAGAAACACCAATCAGTTTTACTTTCAATTATAATTAATCTATTATAATTAATTGAAAGAAATGTTACATTAGTGGCTGTCCATCAATTTTGTTACGCAAATTGGAACATTTTGAATACCCCCCTCTCAGCCCTGTTATACTTGACCCCCACTCCCACTTCAATAATTATATAACACCCGTAAATCCTTTTAACATTTACAAAAAGTAAAAATAAATTATAAATCAATGAAAACATTTTTTATTAATTCTATTGTGTTTTGGGTTGAATTTATTGATGATTGAAGCCAGACTTAAATGGTGATGCTGACTGCACCCAACAATAAGATTGGGAGACAATTTTTACGTGAAGGAAGGAAGCATTGGCAAGAAAATTTCTTACTAGGGTACACATTTCTGACTAGGGCGCACAGGCTAGGGCACTATACTATGGCATGAAGGATGCACTAGCAAGCATTTAAACACCATAAGTTTTTAATTTATTTACACTTAATTTTATTTTTAATATTTTAAGATCGTAGTGTACGTATGAATAAAAATAATTATTTCAGCAAATGTTGAAAAAAAATCAGCATAGCGGAACCCTAAATTAACTCGTAAATGATCTTGGTTGTCCGGGTGACGCCGCGTCGAAGGCTGTGTTGTCGACGTTCCGACCACCTTATCGTGGTCTTCTTCAGGGCTTGTCTGACCATTTTATTGATATACCTGGTCTAACCAGCCCTGAAGAAGACCACGATAAGATGGTCGAAACGTCGGCAACACAGCCTTCGATGCGGTGTCACCCGGACTGCCAAGATCATTTACGTGACTCCGGCCGCGGAAGCCTAAGACTTCCTAAATTAACTCCTCCCCTACGCCCATGCAACGCAATCTAACGTTTCCTCAAACCCCCACCCCCTATTTAGCGTTATGTAATTAACCTTACGAGGCATTACATTTACATTAACCTTACGAGCAATTACTGTAACCGTGAGTAATGGGCTAGTGGAAAGACGGAAGGACGGACGGTGTTTAATTTATGTCAATACACATATATTACCAAAACATACATTGCTATAATACCTATTGGAAAATAATTAGTATGAATATTTTATCAGTTCAGGCTTGTCACTAGGGAATCCTGACCTAAAATAGACGTGGGTAAAGTTTTCAATGGTAGGTGAAAGCATTTCAGTTGGGAACCGCCCCCATAATACACATTTTTGAAACGCCAAACACATGGAGATACACAATGGAACATACTTTCTCGTTGTAAGTTAGTCTCCTATTCACTTGAGTCAAGGCCAACTTTTGGCTTTTCCACCACCCTCTTCCAGACTGCCATCTATCGACGCCTAAAAGACGTACCAGGTAGTCGCGTGGTTCCTGCCTCTCTTCTGGGGAAACTTACCTGAGGGACCTTAGTACGATTGCCCTTAGATCCATCCCTGTTCTGAACCATTACAAGTATCTACATCAAGGATTCCCTTTTACTTTTATTGACCACTTATAAGAGAATTTTTGCCTTCATTGACCCGCTTAAGTTTTCCCTATAGTATACAGCATCCAGCAACACAAAAAATTATTAACAATATAACAATATGAAAGACATTAATCATATAGAATTTTGAGTGAGATATTAACCATATTGAGTAACCGAGTATCTAACTTGCGTGCAGTGCAACAAAATATTGAGAATTTTTTAAGAAATGGTCATAGGTGTGTTCCAACCACGAGTGTTTTGGAAATTGTCGATAAATCCCCGACTCACGAAGCGAGGAGGGGATTTATCTAGAATTTCCAAAGCACGTGTGTTATTTAATAGGTCTATTTTACGAGTGAAATTGTGTCCAACAAAGTTCCAAAATGTGCCAAATATTGAAAGTGTGTTATAATTACAGAGATCATGTTATAATACATAGGCGGTTTAATGGACATCGACATAGCGATTGATGTAAACCGCCTCCTAAGATAGATGAGTCACAGTTTATGATTGGCCAGAGGGGAGAAGTGGTAAGAAAAATCGGATAGAAAAAGCGACAAACTTTTTGAGATACACCGCCCTGATTGAAACATTTTGAGATTGATGACTATGCCCTGATTTTAAGCATTATTGGTTTTAACTTCATGAGTGGAATAGTCAAGTTAATTAATATTATATTGGTCAATCGACCCCTTGATCATCACTGACCCCCTTCGAAGTCGATACCGATCCCGTTGGGAATCTCTGATCTACATGGTTGCCCTATCTGGGTGCAGGTGCCATTTTAAAGAAAAAAATTGGATTCACTTTTTTGAGAACGTTTTGAAACTTTTCCTGGGGCTTCGTGGGAAGTACCCCTAAAATTATAAGATTCTTTTCAAATTAGCAGGTCCTCGAGTAGACCAAATCGTTCGGGGAACAATCATTTTGGGAAAAATCCAGGCTCTGTATGTTGTACCATTGTCCTTTGCAGGGCTTTACTTATGGTAAAAATCGACGGAACTGCGTTCCGATACCTCGTGAATAATTATTCAATTTTAATGTATAACTGTTTGTGGTATCCTTCGGTAGCTCGTTGGATACCGTGCTCGCTTCCCATGGCGCAACCCCGGGTTCGATTACCGGCGGGCAAAAATTAATTGTGCGCTTTCCTTGCAACGTCCCAGTATCTGTAGCTGAGTGACGATGATAAAGCTAACTTCTCAGGTTGAGAAGACCAGAATACAGCGTAAGGATGACTATGTGCTAACCTCATACACAGCTTTTCCCATGGCCGCAAGGCCGGTGCGCTGCTGGTAGGCCTTAGCTCGTAAAGAGTTGCTGGTATACTATGTACACGCATATAACTACTCCTATTAATATTTAATTTGAGGCATATTTTAAGACCTAAAAAGTTTATAAATCAAGCACTGTTTTTTTTGTGGTTGACTTTGTGTTGGGCCTCGTCAGAGACAGGGTTGCGTGCTTTTTGCCCCTGCCACGTGCGCTTTCGCGGCCAATCTAATGCGAATACTAGATTTCAGTCCTGTACTTTTGATTATTTTTCAGTCCACCACCTACGCTGTATGAACACTTGTAATGACTTGAATTTTTTATGTTGGACGTCATAAATGCATGGTAGCAGCGCTCATTCATTACGATATTCTATCCCTTTATTTATCCCTTCCACGTTTTGGCAACTAGGGAAGATGATATCCCTGAAAAAGATTCTTCTAATTACACTTCGAAACCACTGATGGACATCACATGTGCCTCAAACACAAAGATATGCTTGGCAAGCTCAAAGAGTTTTGACACAACGTGTAGTGTTATTTACATACGGGCAAACGGACTGACTGACGATCGGATAGACAGATGGACAGACTAACGGACAGACGGATAGACTGACGTTTTGCCGAAAAACAACTTTTCGTTATTATGGACCCACCAAACGAGGATTCTGACGGTTCTATATAATATAAGAAAAAAAAATACTTTTAGGATATTAAAGTTCCACACTACGAGATTTTTTTTGTCTAAAAACGGCACTTTGTGATGCAGTATTTCATAACGTTCTGTATATAGTACGTGTATTACTTCTTATATACAAAAATAAAACCCTGGGTTCGGGCATGTCTCCGTTAATTAATGACTTCCCTGGTACTAACGAGAAAGAGCACCTACCCGCGTCAGGTGCTTCATCTTCTTCCTCTTCCCAAATGCTGTCGTCCGAGCAAATGCTGAACTGCTCCACGTTGCCGTGGGCCTGCGTGTTGTAGCTCTTGATGAGGTTGCCCCACGTCCTCTGCCGAGCCTCGCTGCCGGCGTTCTTCAGCTTGCGACGCCAGTTGGCGAACCAGTTGCAGATCTGGAACAGCGGATCCGAAAATGAGCAATTTTACTCCCACGAAAAGAGAAAGTCTTTGCGTTCAGAATTTGAACTAACAAAATCGCGCCAACGCTTAGTTACTGAACGAAACGCAGAAATTCACAGAAAATCCACCGAACTTTTTCTCATTGCGCTGCAGATAAACCCTAATTGAATTTCACGCCGTTGGCAGAGCGCTGTCGGGCCGCGTCGAATCTACTGAGAGCTGCGAAGAGTGCGCGCGGCGGCGCAGGCGAGAGTCACGGCCGAGGAGGCGATAAGGGCCCTCCTTATCACGAGGATCGCTGTTTACCCTGCCGAACAGCTTAGCTTCGCTCGCTTCGGATCGCAGATAATCCAGACGAGTTTTCAGATCTTCATGAAATGTTAAAAAAATATTACCTGGAAACTGAAACCAACAAATACAAACTTACAATTTATACGAGAAAGTATGTGCTGTTGTAGTGCACCGAGTTTCCTTCCCCAACTATTCATAGAAGGAATGAAAAGGTGGAAATATGATATGAAAAGAAGTAAAAGGAAACTGATAGTGCTGCAATATCACATACTTTCTCAAATTATTTGTAACTTTTGCAATTGTCGAAAATTCGCAAAGCTCGACAAAAATGAAACCTGTGCCATTTTATAACAGAACTTTTCTCTGTTAAAGAAAAATGAAAGAAAAAAGTTAGAGCAATTTTTTTGAACATTTTGAAAAAGTTCTTCTGGAAAAGAGAGAAATCGACAACTTCAGGAAAGGAACATCGACAAAATTAATCTAGGAAATTTTGGAAGGCCGAAATTGATTATTTCTAATCGTGTGATTTATACACATTTAAATTTGATAATTTGATTTTACGTAGAATTACGTAGGAATATAGGTACAGTTATGAACTATTTTTAATGTTCACTCAGACAAACCGTGGAGATGTTGCGAGAAGCAGGCGTGAACAATATCAAACATTCATTTTAGAAAGGTTGAATTCTTGTATGGAATTTATTCTCCATTGGAAGGAAAATCAGCAACGAGATGTTACAAATTCACTGGCATATATAAAAAAAGCAAAACTGTATGTTTCTGATCTTGCCTCGTAATATTGTATTTATCGCGAGAGTCTGACAGCATCAATTTAAAGTCTTAAAGGTCGAATTAAAGGTCTTAAATTCGGTTGGAATGACCTTTCATTATCTTCTTTCCGTCATTACTTTCCGTTCCTTCAATTCGTCTTTTTTCCCTTGTTCACGGTTGGACTTGTCGCTTTACGATCACCAAATCATTTAGTCCAATATTAAGTTTCGTAGATGTGAATCATCTCGAAATTATATTCAAAATTTGTTTTTTATACTCTAAATGCATTTTCAAAAGAAGAATGGAGCGGGATGCAGAGATAATCTTTAAGCTTCATTAGTTATATTACAAGATGATGAAAGCTTATACTTTGAGGCAGAAAGAGTTACTGAGTGAATAAAATAAAAAAAATAGAAAATGCGGAAAGAGATTACAATAGAGGGATTCTTGCTCAATTAAGATAGATAATCGGTGGAACTTTCCCCAAGTAACCTGAAATGTACATGGTGCAACCTTGAGTGGTCAAAAACACACTAACGATGACTTTGAAAGTGGAATTTCAGAAGTTTTTGAAATTACTGTTTTCAAACCAAGCATTTGTAGGTTTCTAGAAATCTTTCTGTACTAACAGAAAGAAAATAAGCAAGTGATTACCCAATTGCTAGAAGATCATATTCGAATCAGTCCATTATTTAATCAGACATCTGTCAATAATTAAGAACATGAAAAGGGAATGATTACACCATATAAAAAAAACATGACAATTGTCTAGGCACATGTGATTTTTGTTTTGTTTAGAATGCTGCTCAAAAAAATTTTAACGTCTTAACCTGCTGGTTTTATAGCAACACCATACGAGATTTCAAAATTGTGTAAAAAGGGTTTTTTTTATGCATTGTAATTGTTTTCATATTTAAAATATCTGCGAACATAAGGGCATTACTTCAACAACTTCTTGAATTCAATGAAAACTTGTAGTATATGAAATAAAGCAGTGTACACACTTTGATAATAAGTACAGTATAGTAAATTGACGGTATGATAGTAAGCGAAGGATGATTCCAGTTGTAATAGTTTTTGGTCTCACTCGCAGTTTTTAGCTTAATCGTTCTGGATCTGTCTGATTTGTTCCATTCGAGGAAATTTTCTTGACCTTATCTCCCTAGTTATCGACCAGCCCAACTCTCTCAGTTCGAACCAGTCAAAAACTTGATTTTTCTTTCAGCGATACGACTCGTTTATCGTGGCTGCCTTTATTTGCTTTCAAATAAATTCAGCTGTCACGTTTTGCCCGGCTTTTCCATACTGTGTGGTGTGTTTAATTTACTCATTTTATGATGCTTGCTTTCGACTTAGTTTTACAATTTGCATTGACAAATGTTATTTTATTTGGGGTATCAATTTGATACTAGTTACGAATTGTCGTTGATGTAATGACTGCAGAAATTGGTGTACTCCGTCTTTCTTACAATTGTAAAGTAAATGCATCTGAGGTGAAATTGACCAAAGTTGATATTTTTTAGAAAATATTATAAATTTTACAGGACATGTCAGGTAGGCCTCATTAAACTCTTCTCAGCAAATCTAAATTTGTGACTTCGTCTGACTAAAAAAAGTCTTTGTAAACCCGAAAAAAACTTGAGGAAGAGTACTCAAAAAAAGGGATTATGGAAATTGCTGTAGATGAAGGCGAGCAAAGGAAATTAGAATATGAGCGTGTATTCCAATTTTTCTCAGATGCTGATGACGATTCGTCAACATCTTATCTCATAAGCAGTATTATTATCCACTAATAATTTATATATAAATAATAGATATTTTTATTTACGTATAAGTAATTATAAATAATTATGAAGCTGCAATACAGAGTGTCCGGGAAGGAAATGTTGAAATTTTGCAAATAAGCTCTTAAGATAACATTAAGCATATTTTGTTTAAAAACTACTGAGATATTCCAAGCGGTTGAGCCGAAATAAGCACTCAAAAGTTGGTTTGCAAAAAGGCTTTCTAGGCAAAAATTTGCAATGCAGAAAATTTGCAATGCAGAGAATTTGCACAGAAACACGGCAGAAACATGTTAATTGTTTATTATTTAAAAAGAAATTAATATATTTGTTTTGAAAGAAAAATTAACACAACAATAAACTAATGTTGCTACAGAATAGCACAGACTTTCCCGTATTAGTTTTCTATATCCTTTAGTCTCTTTTTTACAGACTATTTTTGAGTTTTCAAAAAATTTAACTTGAAGTCTTTTGAACATATTAACTCACAAATACAATAGTGTTTACAAATTGGTGAAAATGTGCATATTACCGGTTTGAGAGATATTAAAAAAAAATTACATTTGTGCAATATTTGAAAAAACAAAAATTATCTCGAAATGAACTTTCCTCATATTAAATAGCGCAATTAGCACTCTCCATACGCAAAATTTAAAGAAAAAAATTGGAGCTGTTTTTGAGAAAATGGCTTTTCGGGGTTTCTGAAAATGCGGAATTTTGAGCTAGTGTTCACAGAAAACGGTTGAGTTTTCGAAGAGCTTATAAGATATTATTTAATGCACATGTACACATAAATATAATAATATGAACAAATTGCCGCTCATGTAAATATTAACGACGTGAGAGATAAATCAAAAACTTTTTTTTCTAATTTTTGAAAAAACAAAGAATATAGTAATGTCGTATTTCTGTTGTCTTATAGAGTGCGATTAGCACAATCCCTACCAAAAGTTTAAAGAAAAAAATTGGAGCGGGTTTTGAGAAAGTCTTGTTTTTGAAATTCTTTAAAACTTCAAATATTGTAGGCAATATTGCGCGAAAACTACTCATAATTTTAAACAATTGTTCATGAAATTTCACGGAAAAATCTCTATCTTCAATTTTGTAATTGTAGGAAGACACCTAAAAAAAATTCTTACTGTTGACATTTCGAAAACTCTGAGTAAACCTTGAAAATTGGAGCTGTGCTCACTTTTATAAGTATATATCACTCCATTCTTACAATAAATTTAAAGAAAACGCTTGATGCCGTTTTTGACTAGTACCAAATACCTCAAAAGTACCCCCAAATTTTAAATATTTTTTTTCAAAATCTCGAAGCATTAATTCGAAGTAGATGAACAGGGATTTCTTTAATTTGGACAAAAATACTACGCATGTTTTAGGCGCTATTAGTGTTCACAGGCGGAAGGACGAACAAACGGACGGACATACGAACGTTTCAAAAAATTTTTTTTGGTATCTGGGGCCCCAAAACGTGTATTTCCATTGAAATCTCGAAATAGATTTTCAGCAGCATTACATAATTATCCTTATACTTTGTATATTACTCCGTATATACGTACGTAAACGGGAAAGTAAAAATCACCCAATTTACACAATTCGGCAGCTTTTATATTTCTGGATTAATTTTTCTTTCTGAACAAATATATTATTTTCTTTTGAAAATAGTAAACAATTTACATGTTTCTGGAGAGTTTCTGTGCTTCTTCAATGCAAATTTTTGCTTAGAAAGCATTTTCTCAAACCAACTTTTGAGTGCTGGTAACGGCTTAGCCATTCGGAATATGCTAGTAGTTTATTAGGCAAAATATGCTTAAACTTGTCTGAAGAAGTTTCGACGTTTCCTCGCCGGATATCCCGTATTTTTTATATACTATGTGTAGATGAATTTTACTACTCCATTAGGCCGTCCTAATAATAATAATAATAATAATAATAATAATAATAATAATAATAATAATAATAATAATAATAATAGCGAACGGTATAAGTATTTTCACAATTGACCAGTCCAATTCGATGTGAGGTAGACGTAACCCTCCTCTTCATGCACCCTGCGCTGCGAAATGTGAAGAAAATGCGTTCGTATTCTACTAGATCAGCAGTGCACAAAGGGTTGCCTAAACACAAGGCGCTGCGGCGCGGTCTGCTAATTTTCAAGCTAACCTCACTAGGCTTCATATGTCAAAGGCCCTCACACTTTCCCGGTGACAGGACACCCTCCGCAATGTACGTCACTATCACGTATTTATTTCATATATCCATTTCGTATTTATTTCATATTTTTATTGTTTCCCTAATAGTAGTATTGAAATAAGACGTTTAAGGTAAAACCTAGTCCAAAGCGCACATTTCCACTGAAATATTTGAAGTCGTTTTTAAGAAAATGTTGTTTGAGAGTTTCTGAAAATGGCTCATTTGCACCCAAAACTTTCGAGTTTTCGAGAAACTTCATAAGAAATTATTTGAAGTAATTCGATTCACAAATGTGATAATGTATCAAAAATTCCCTTAAAATAAATACGAGTATTCGCGACGTGGGAGATAAAAAGTGCATTTATTAAAAAACAAACAAAGAATACATGAAAGTGACAAATATGTCCCCTTATTCAATACATTTAGCATTATCCGTACAAAAAACAAAGGCAAAATTCGGAGCTATATTTAAAAACAATGCTTTTGAGCGTTTCCCAAACAATTGAGCGTATTTTAACAGAAAACTACTGAGTTTTTGAAAAATTTGATTAGAAATCATTTATAACCCTTGTAGTCACAAACGACATAAAGTATTAAAAACTCCTGTATTTTAAATATTAACGACTTGAGAAATCCGCCAAAAATTGTAATGGTTTTTTTTTGGAAAACCAGTAAAATACATAAAAATTATGCATAGATTATTATGTCTTGTTATTCAGTGCCTTTAGAAAGATCTGTAGAAAAAGTCTAAGGAAAATGTTTGAGCTGTTTATGACCAAATCGTGTTTTTAATATTTTTTTAAAATATTGCCCATATTTTACTCAAAATCACTTTCAAAACATCTAAAAAATATTACATTAACTGTAGAGAACAAATTTA